TGGGGACATCGGGGGACATTGGGGTCACTCTGGGGTCATTGTGGGGTCACTGTGGGGTCACTTTGGGGTCACCAGGGCAGGGTCCAGCCCGGTACCTGCTCCTCGGCGGGGTCGGGGGGGACGTGCAGAACGTTGCGCACCAGCAGCAGGATGCGCTCGATCAGCAGAGTGTCCTCCTCCTGCCGCTGCTCCCAGTCCTGGGGACACGGGGGAGGGATGGCAGAGTGACATGGGGACATGGGGGAGGGACAGCCAGAGTGACATGGGGACACAGGGACAGCAGAGTGACACGGGGACATGGGGACAGCCGGAGTGACACGGGGATAGCCAGAGTGACATGGGGACACCGAGCAGGGACAGACCCCACAGCCCCTGGGGACATTGAGCAAGGACAGATCCCATTGCCCCCATGGGGATCCCCATCAAGGTCAGACCTCACAATCCCATTGGGGAGCCCTGACAGACCCCACAGACCCCAAACCCCAATCCTAACCCTAACCCCAAAAAGGACCCCCTCAAGCTCCGACCCCACAATCCCCCAGGACCCCATGAAGAACAGACCCCATATCCCCCAGGACAGACCCCACAGCCCCATGGGGACACTGAACAGGGACAGACCCCATAGCCCCCATGGGGACCCCACTAAGGTCAGACCCCACAATCCTATGGGGACACTGATTAGGGACAAACTCCACAATTCCATGGGGACCCCACCAAGGTCAAACCCCATACCCCCCTGGGGACAGACCCCACAGACCCCACAGACCCCAATCCTAATCCTAACAAGGAACCCCACCAATGTCTGACCCCACAATCCCATGGCGACACTGAGCAGGGACAAACCCCATAGGAACCCCTGACAGACCCCATAGACCCCAAACCCAAACCCCAAAAAGAACCCCCTCAAGGTCCAACCCCACAATCCCATACGGACCCCATCAAGGTCAGACCCCACAATCCCATGGGGACATTGAGCAAGGACAGACCCCATGGTGCCCATGGGGACCCCACTAAGGTCAGACCCCACAATCCCATGGGGACCCCCATCAAGGTCAAACCCCATATCCCCCTGGGGACAGACCCCACAGACCCCAATCCTAATCCTAACAAGGAACCCCACCAACATCCGACCCCACAATCCCATGGGGACACCGAGCAGGGACAGACCCCACAGGAACCCCTGACAGACCCCATAGACCCCAAACCCAAACCCTAACCCCAAAAAGAACCCCTCAATGTCTGACCCCACAATTCCACAATGCCCTCACCAGCTGCAGGAGCCCGTAGAGTTTCTCGCTGAGCACCCCAAACACTTTCTCGCTGGCGAAAGCCTGGGGATGGAGACCCCCACCCCGTGAGCGAGGGGAGGGGGCTGCGGTGGAGCCCCCCGCCCCAAATATCCCCCGGGCACCCCAGGGCACCCCTCACCTCTTTGTAGGATTGCAGGTGGGACAGAACCTGCAGGAAGTGGTGGCGGGAGGTGGCATCGGTTGGGACCTTCCCGAAACACAGCAGGGCTGGTTGGGTGAGGTTCACCAGGAGCCTGGGGTGGGCAGGGGGGAGAGGGA